TGCACTGGGGACTGAGCCCGCAACCCGGGCATGTGCCCTTTGACCGGGAATCGAACCCTGAACTCCTGGTTCCTAGGTCGACGCTCAACCACTGAGCCACGCCAGCCGGGCCCTAACTTTGTCATTTCCATCCAAAGCGACCCACACGACTTGGTTGGGATTAACATTACAGAATATAGTAGAGACCATCGGACAAAAACGATGAAGTATTTGGTTTAATTTGTGGGGAAATGGTCAGATTTCCGATTTCCTTTCATTTTCTCTTCCCCCGAAAGACACTCTCCAACATACTCTGAATCCCATTCTGTTTAGGTCTTAAGCCAGAGTCCTGTGAGTCAAGCCCAGAGCCCATTAACCATTTAACTTTCCCCAAGATTGACCCAAAGGTAGGCTTACAGCTGTCCCAATGGAAAATAATACAGTGATCCTATAGAATACAAGCCTAATATGCTACGTGTCCGGTTGACCAGTCGGCCCTTCAACCAATCAAAGCGTAATATGCTAATGATATGCTAAGGCTGCTCAACAGCTCGCTATGACGTGCCCTGACCACCAGGGGGCAGGCAGTAGACCGGTCGACCAGTCACTATGACGTGCACTGACCACCAGGGGGCAGACAGTCAACTGGTAGGTTTGCTTGCTGCTGGGGTCCGACCATTGGGGCTGGAGTGAGATGGGCTGGACATGCCCTGGAGCCCTCCCACGGTCCCTCCCTGGCTGGCCAACCTCCTGCCTCCCTCCCCAACCCTGATTGTGCATTGGTGGGGGCCCTCAGCCTCGCCTGTGCCCTCTCACAAACTGGGACCCCTCCGGGGGTGTTGGAGAGCCATCGGAGAGCCGGTTTCGGCCCCATCCCGCAGGCCAGACCGAGGGACCCCACTGGTGCATGAATTCGTGCACCGGGGCCTCTAGTTAAAAAATAATGAAACAAGAATAAGCTACTGCACGTACTGACCACTGTACACCTACTCTCCCCGCCCGGTGTGCAGGTCTAACGTTTTTCTCTCCCACACACTGTGCACCCAACGCCCCCCGGGAACGCACACCCCCAAATTATCCTCGGCTTTCGGTACAACACATGGTTCGTCCCGCATCCGCAAATATTACTTCCCAGGAAGGTTCCCCGGGGAGAAGGACACCGATTCATAGCGGCTGATGGTTCTGCATTACCGGCGTGCGTGCTGCGGGGCCGCTGATAAAGGGAGTGTGTTCCTTTCAAAGCCTCTCATCTTGTCCCCCGAGTGAAACAGACGCGGCGGGAAATACGCCGTCTGGAGAGCAATTTGTCACTGAGCGGCAGACAAACACCACCAGTCGGCTCATCCAACAGACAAGAGCGTCCCGGCCACCCTGTGGTGACCCTGCCGGGAGAACATGTGGGGGTGGGGCACCCTGCCTCCTCGCTGGGGACTGGAGCTGTAGGGGAAGATGAAATCCCGGCGAGAACCCTGGCCGGTGAACAAGAATAAGCTACTGCACGTACTGACCACTGTACACCTACTCTCCCCGCCCGGTGTGCAGGTCTAACGTTTTTCTCTCCCACACACTGTGCACCCAACGCCCCCCGGGAACGCACACCCCCAAATTATCCTCGGCTTTCGGTACAACACGTGGCTCGTCTCGCGTCCACCAATATTATTTCAGAGGAAGGACACCGATTCATAGCGGGTGATGGTTCTGCATTACCGGCGTGCGTGCTGCAGGGCCGCTGATAAAGGGAGTGTGTTCCTTTCAAAGCCTCTCATCTTGTTCCCCGAGTGAAACAGACGCGGCGGGAAATACGCCGTCTGGAGAGCAATTTGTCACTGAGCGGCAGACAAACACCACCAGTCGGCTCATCCAACAAAGAGCGTCCCGGCCACCCTGTGGTGACCCTGCTGGGAGAACATGTGGAGGTGGGGCACCCTGCCTCCTCGCTGGGGACTGGGGTTGTAGGGGAAGATGAAATCCCGGCGAGAGCCCTGGCCGGTGTGGCTCAGTGGCTAGAGCGCCGGCCCGCGGACCAAAGGGTCCCGGGTTCGATTCCGGTCAAGGGCACGTACCTGGGTTGCCGTCCTCAGACACGCAAGCAATGTTCTAAAAGCCTGGCCCGGGAATCCAACCGTGATCTCCAGGTGCATACGTGGATGCTCAATCACTGAGCCACACTGGCCAGGCCATCTGCAAGGAATGTTCTAAAAGCCTGGCCTGGCCCAGCCCACCAGGGAATCCAACCGTGACCTCCAGGTGCATACGTGGACGCTCAATCACTGAGCCACACTGGCCAGGCACCCACCACAATCAGGGCCGATTTGGCCAAGCCGGCCAGAGGGAGGGGCTGCAGGTGGTTGGCAAGCCAGTCCCACCCCTGATCAGGATGTGTGGGGGGGGGCAATCAGGGGCAGGGCCAGATGGGGGGAGGGGCCGAAGACCATTGGTCGGTCTGCCCTGCCCCTGGTCGAACTCCCGGTCGAGGGGACAATGAGGTTCGGCCGGCCCACCACAATCAGGGTCGACTGGGCCGAGCCGGCCAGAGGGAGGGGCTGCAGGCAGCTGGCAAGCCAGTCCCACCCCTGATCAGGGTGGTGGGGCGATCAGGGGCGGGGCCAGATGAAGGGAGGGACTTCAGACCATTGGTCGGTCTTCCCTGTCCCCGGTCGAACTCCCGGTCAAGGGGATAATTTGCATATTAGCCTTTTATTCTATAGGATACCTTTTTAACCCAGTCTCCCAAATTCTAATATACCCTTTCTTCCGATGCCATGAAATGTTTAACTGGCTACCGAATGGTTACTTAACCTCTCAAACTTCACTTTACCGTTTTTATAGAGATGGACATAAAAAAATATCTCCTGGCAGCCCCTACCATCATCACCATCACCATCATCACCATCTTCATCACTATCACTACCATCATCACCATCACCATCATCACCATCTTCATCACTATCACTACCATCATCACCATCACCATCATCACCATCTTCATCACTATCACTACCATCATCACCATCACCATCATCACCATCTTCATCACTATCACTACCATCATCACCATCACCATCATCACCATCTTCATCACTATCACTACCATCATCACCATCACCATCATCACCATCTTCATCACTATCACTACCATCATCACCATCACCATCATCACCATCTTCATCACTATCACTACCATCATCACCATCACCATCATCACCATCTTCATCACTATCACTACCATCATCACCATCACCATCATCACCATCTTCATCACTATCACTACCATCATCACCATCACCATCATCACCATCTTCATCACTATCACTACCATCATCACCATCACCATCATCACCATCTTCATCACTATCACTACCATCATCACCATCACCATCATCACCATCTTCATCACTATCACTACCATCATCACCATCACCATCATCACCATCTTCATCACTATCACTACCATCATCACCATCACCATCATCACCATCTTCATCACTATCACTACCATCATCACCATCACCATCATCACCATCTTCATCACTATCACTACCATCATCACCATCACCATCATCACCATCTTCATCACTATCACTACCATCATCACCATCACCATCATCACCATCTTCATCACTATCACTACCATCATCACCATCACCATCATCACCATCTTCATCACTATCACTACCATCATCACCATCACCATCATCAC